AATGTATTTTGATTGTTTTGCTTGTTTGCTTAAGGCAACTGGTTTTATCTCCTTCAGTAGGAAGAGAGAAAGTCACTAACTCTTTATATAGTATTTCCTATGTGCCGGACATTGGTCTAAGGGCTTTACATAGATTAATTTATTCTCCACAACAACACTATGAGGAGATACATTACTATTAATATGTCTTAATAAAAGTCCTGTCTTTCATGTAAGAAAATAGAGATACAGGAGGCCAAGTAATGCCTAAGATTACAAAGCTAGTACAACCACATTTGTAAGATTGGAAATGGAAAATACTAGAAAGATTCTGTTGTCAGTAGAAACCTAGATGAATGGTTGCCTGTAATATGAGCTCTCTTTTTTGCAAGGGAAGTGCCTTGAGAATATGTTCTAATGCATTAGATTTTATCTATATAGCTCTATGGAATCCCAATCAATTTAGGAAATATGGTTCTTCTGTAGAACATAAATACTGATGAAAAAGTATATTTATTAATGTTGGTCACCACTGGAATAAATAGGAAAGTGAGCTGTTATGCTTAGTTCAATGTTGATAACAAAACATTATTTTATTTTAGGATTGTGTAGGGCCGTTGACCCCACAGGGTCATGGGGTGTCCCTTCTGGTTTGCTGAGGTGCTGGATCTGAGAAATAAAGAGACAGGACACTGAAGAACTGGAGAAGAGCAGCTGGACTCGGGGGGCCATGCCACCTATGAGCAGAGACAGGCGAGGCCCCGAACGTCCAGAAGCGTCTGTATTTATTAGGTACAAGCAGGGGGAAGGGTCATAAGTGAGGTCATCATCTATAGGCTTAGTGATAGGGCATACATAATCACGTGAGTAACAAGTGAGGGGGCCACTCCATTATGTCATGTGGGCAGAGAGGTGGGCCGTGTGTGGTATGGGGCCATGCCATGCGCACTAGTAGAGGGTCGTGTACAGAAAAGGGGTCCACCCCCATTAGGTTACCAGGCAGGGAGGTGGGCTATGTGCAACAGGTGTCTTGCACAACACTTCTTACCTGGGGGCTGGAGACTTCAAAGGATTTCTAACAGAAAGATACTGTAAGCGAATGCAGTGGGAATGGACAGACTTGTGCTCTTCTCTAAGATATTTATGGGAGGCTGATTTGAGCTAGCACAGAAGTGAGAAAAGAATGACAGGGTGTATAGCCGCCATGACCTGGTCACACCAGACGCATTCTTCTCCCTCGGTTATTTGCAGGATCTCAGGCCTGAGGCCTACTTTCCACAGGACTGGTTGCAAGGTACTACAACTCCTTTATCAGGAGGAGAGCCTCTTGCTCCAAGCCTGCCATATAACATATGCCCTTTCAGGCAGGGATGCCACCGCCTGGGTCTTTGGTTCTTGTCCTGGTCTGGCTGTTTTTCCCTGTACTGCTTCTGCTCTGTGACTGCTCTAGGCATTCTTCCTACTACAAACTACTATGTGGTTATATAGAAGGATTATATAAATCAGCACTAAATGTGTTGGTACAGCTCTGACTACAATACGTATAGGATTATATAGAAAGATTATGTGGAACTAAGTATGCTAGATATAAGTACTAAGTATGATTATATAAGCTAGATATATGTAAGCAGTAGGTTATATTTCAGGCACTAATTCTATAAACTAACATATGATTATATATAAAGGATTATATGAAGGAAATAGCTGAGTAATAACACTATAAACTAAGGTATTCTTCAGGTACTAATTGTGCCTGGGGTTTGCACAGCTCTCCTTCCTTTGTGCCCATGTTTGGGGGTTACCCACAGGATTTTATTTCCCCTAGGACAAAATAATAAAAATGTTTTTAGGAATGATGCTTCATCAGTTAAGAAAAATTATTGATAGAAGAGAATAATTTTTATATGATTGATACATAATTTGTTCTTTCTTAAATATCCAGTTATATAGGTATATTACCCATTTTTGCTCCCATATCAGTATTTGAAGTTAAATGAAAGTTGTCATTCATGTATCAAATATTTTACAAGTATAAAATCAACTCCAATTTGAGCGATTCATAATTTAAAGACTTTAATTTTAGTAACAACGATTATATGGTAAAAATTTGGACATGTAGATAATTATGGGAGGGCAGTTGTACTTTAATGAAAACTTCATTAAATTAATAATACATTTATTTATTTATTTTCTTGCATTTGCTTTTGGGGTCTTAGTCATACATTTTTTTTTACCTAGGGAATGTTGAGAATAGTTTTTTTTTGTAGGTTTTCTTCTAGAATTTTTCTGGATTTAGGGCTTAGAGTTACGTCTTTAATTCAGCTTGAGTTAATTTTTGTATAATGTGAGAGGGGGATCCAGTTTCATTGTTCTACATGTGGCTATCCACTTTTCCAAGCACCATTTGTAGAGTTGAGTATTCTTTCCCCAGTGTATTTTTTGTGTGCTTTGTCAGAGATCAGTTGGTTGTAACTATGTGGCTTTATTTCTGGATGCTCTATTCTGTTTCATTGATCTATGTGTCTACTTTTATACAAGTATCATGCTGTTTTGATTACTGTAGCCCTGTATTTATAGTATAATTTGAAGTCAGGTTATGTGATGCCACCATATTTGTGCTTTACACCTAGGATTGCTTTGGCTACTTAGGTTCTTTTTTGATTCCATAAAAATTTTAGGATTTTATTTTCTAATTCTGTGAAAAATGATGTTGTATTTTGATAGGAATTGCACTGAATCTGTAGATTGCATGTTCTCACTAATAAGAGGGAGATAAGCTATGAGTATGCAGAGGCATACAAAGAGACATAATGGATATTGGAGACTCAGGAGGTGAGGAATGGAAAATTATCTTTTGGGTACAATGTACACTATTTGGGTGTTGGCAGTATGATCATTTTCACAATATCGATTCTTCCAATCTATGAGCATGGGATATTTTTCTATTTGTTTGTGTCATCTGTGATCTCTGCACAACTGAAGAAATAATTAGCAGAATAAATAGATGACCTATAGAATGGGAGAAAATATTTGCAAAGCATACATCCAAAATAGGACTAATATCCAGAATCTACAAGGAACTCAAGAAAATTAGCAAGAAAAGAAAGCAAATAATCCCATAGGCAAATGACACGAACAAACACTTCTCAAAAGAAAACATATAAATGGCTAACAAATATATGAAAAAATGTTCAACATCATTAATCATCAATGAAATGCAAATTAAAATCACAGCAAGATACCAGCTTACCCCAGTGAGAATTGCCATCATTAGAAAGTCAAAAAACCATAGATGTTGGTATGGATATGGTGAAAAGCAAATGCTTGTACCCTGCTGATAGGAAGTTACATTATTACAGTATGGAGATTTCTCAAAGAATTAAAAATGGAACTACCATTTGATCCAGCAGTCCCACTACTGAGTATCAAAAAGATATCTGCATGTGTATGTTTATCTCAGCACAGTTCGCAATTGCAAAGATATGGCATCACTTAAGTGTCCATCAACTGATGAATGAATAAAAACATGTGGTGTGTATATATGTATACACACCATCTTTATACCTACCTACCTACCTATCTATCTATCTATCCTGTTTGTCTGTCTATCTATCTACCTATCTATCTAACTACACATGCATACACCATAGACTACTACTCAGCCATAAAAAAGAATGAAATAATGTCTTTTGCAGCAACTTTTGATGGAACCAGAGACCATTATCCTAAGTGAAGTAACTCAAGAACAGAAAACCAAATACTGCATGTTCTCACTAATAAGAGGGAGATAAGCTATGAGTATGCAAAGGCACACAAAGAGACATAATGGATATTGGAGACTCAGTAGGTGAGGAATGGAAAATTATCTGTTGGGTATAGTGTACACTATTCGGGTGATGGGTATGCTAAAAGCTGAGACTTCACCATTATACTGTTCACCCATGTAACCAAAAACAACTTGTACTCCTAAAGCTATTGAAATTTAAAAAATTTAAAAATAATAATACAAAGCTTATTTAGTATTACAGTATTTAGAAACAATATATTTAAATAAAAGTTGAATAAATCACAACCACTAGACGCTTATGCTGATTAATGTTTTACATCAAAACATAAATAGTCACCACTTTGGACATGTGAGTTAGTGGGGTGTGTGTATGTGTGTGTGTGTGTGTGTGTGTGTGTGTGTGTATGTGTGTGTGTAGTAAATGGAGAATGTTGGGGAGGTGTATGATAGTGAACAGATTAACGAAGTGTAATTTTTCACAGTTGTATTGGTGTAGATATTCTAAATTCTATTATTGGTGTGCTTTGCTTTATGGACTAGATGTGTGCATTAAAGAAAATTATCTGAATGTCATGGTGTTTGTTCAAATGATTCATTCTAAGATACATTCTTTAGTGAAGAGGGGAAATATAGTGGCTCACCAATGCCTTAAAGGAACTACAACAATAACATTTGTGTTAAAGTATCACAGAAAATAAATATAAAGTCTCACAACTATTTTTTAGAGACATAAATATTTATGGTTAGTTTTGCGTTTAGCACATTTGCTTGAAAGTTTAAAGAAAGGAGGGCAAATGAAGAGAACACACTGAATCGTTTGGTTACACAACTGCCGTAACCCCACTTTAAGGTTCTGCGTGTGATGCTGGACAGCTCCCCTTGGTTGCTGTGATACTGTTTCCTAGCATTTCCTAGGAGCTATTGATTTAGGAATGAGATGATGGAACTTAATAAGGGGGGATTTAGAACATGGATGAGGAAAATTCATTAATATAGTAGCAACTGAATAAATTCACAAAAATATTAGCAATAGTAAATGATCATTGGGCAGGCTATTTAGTGAAATAACATGACAGAGAGGGAGTAACAGCTTAGCATGTGTTTAGTTAAAGTATTTTTATTTAAACCCTTTTTCCATTTTCGTTAAGATTGAATTTATATTCTAAGATATTATCAAATAAAGTGGCATGATGTCTTTTGTATTTTAAATCTTTTTTCCTTACTCTTTCCAGGACTGAAGTGTGTATGCCTTTTGTGTGATTCTTCAAATTTTACCTGCCAAACAGAAGGAGCATGTTGGGCATCAGTCATGCTAACCAATGGAAGAGAACAGGTGATCAAATCCTGTGTCTCCCTTCCAGAACTGAATGCTCAAGTCTTCTGTCATAGTTCCAACAATATTACTAAAACTGAATGCTGCTTCACAGATTTTTGCAACAACATAACACTGCACCTTCCAACAGGTAAGGGGTTTATCTTTGTTCATTCCAAATTTAATTTTACTCTTGGGAAACTATAAGAATGGTAGAAATCAAACTGTTTTATGTTTCTTTAAATAAGAAAATCTGTTTTACAGTTCTCTTTTTAATTTTGGCTGGCAAAATTCTCTACAGTCAAGCTGAGGTTGAGTTTTTAAAAAACTGCACATCATTGTCAAAATATTGACAACAACATAACAATTTTGAAGAAATGTGTTCACGTGAATTGTATTTTTGAAATGATTAATGGACATAAAGTAAAATGTGAATTTTTATGGATTTTTGAAAAAGAAATTGAAATTGCTTCTTGGCTTTTTGGCTAAGATCATGTGTAAAAGAAATTGAGATATATACCAGGAAGAAAAAGAGCATAACTAAAAATAGCAAATTGCCAACTTTTATGGGGACAGAATCTTTTTTTCAGGGGTATCCTCTGCATGTCTTCTTCATCTACCCACATTCAAGCAAGAGCACACTCTATAGAGATAGAAGCAGAATGGAATTCGAACTTTGATCATTGTTCAGATGTGTTTCTGTCTTTAGTCAAATTATACAGTGCTTTATCCTAATTTATAAGATGCTAAAAATCCTGATCTGGTCCTTTATCAGGAATCTGGGATCTGAAACTTTGAGAGATATTAACAGGCATGTAGTTCTGAATTTAAAACTAGTTTATGATGTGAAAATGGTCCTGCAGTTGACTTTCTTTAATAGTTTTAATATAACAATAATTTAATGATTATCAGTACAGTTATATCTATACAGAGATACATATACCTCCTTACAAATTAACATTTTAAGGCAATGTTATATAATCTCAGGTATTCATATGTCATCATATCAATATACCACTGAAGCACATTTTACCTATTTTTAAAATAAACTAACCGCCTTTTAATTGAAAAACATTTATTTCATATAATAGCACGATCTCAAATTAAAAACCAGTTTACTTGCCCTAAATAGAAGATAGCTATATAAATAAACAAACAATGCTACTGCATTTCAGTTAGGTATTTTACATTTTCTCTTTGTTTAAAGGAGAGAAGAAATAAGTGTAAAAGACATATTAGCAGGAAAGGAGACTTTTTGATACAAAATCAAAAAAAAAAAAACTAAGAGAATAAGAGAAGGAATCATTATATGACTCAGTGCTATTTAATATTATGTTTGTTTACCATCCCAATTCATCTCAGAAAAAGCTTTTAAAGTGCTTCCATGCACTACTGCTAGTACTTGTCCCAATCCTTGGAAACACTGGTATAAGGCATTATCATGTATACAGCAACCTCAAAAGTTATACTTGGCATATTTCATCCCTGAACAGTACCTGCAGTCATGGATTTTAGACCACGCTTATTCTCTCTGTCTCAGATTCCATAGACTTCCTTGTTTTGGTAGTGATCTGGGATCTATTATGGACACTTGTTTCCTTACACTTTATCCCCCAATTTATCTGTGCACCAGATATACCCTAAAGTGAAGGCTCCTTATATTTGATGGTCTTCTCCACAGCCAAATACAAAGGATTTTTGGGGTGAAAAGGAGAGTCTCCTCATTAGATGTGGCAGTGACCTGTAACGTGTCTTCCCAATAGTGAACGATACTCAAGACTACATACTTTGACTTAACAAAAGGTATTGGAGGGCAAGATGTCTCTAATCTTGGGCAAATCAAAGGTACTTAGTGTAGCTAGAATGTAGGTCCTTCCCAGCCCAATTGTAAGTTCTGCCAAAGTACTGAGAGGTCTATATGTTCTACCCTTAAGTTAGTCATAGACCAGTCTTTCTTTTTCAAAAATCAACTTTATTAAGGTCTAATTTAGGTACAAGAAAGTGTACACATTTTATTTATTTATTTATAAAAAATAGTTTATCAAGAATATATGTGATGAACAGTGGGAGGATAGCAGGTGATTATTTTTTATGTGCATATTGGTTGTCATTTAGGTATCTTCTTCTATATATTAGAGTGTTTATGAAAAATTGGGTTTTTTATCTCTTCTGGTTGAATATGAAGAGTTCTTTATATATTCTGAATACAAGTGCTTTATTAGATACATATATTGTAACTGTTTTCTTCCATTCTGTGGTTTGCCATTTTGTTTCCTTGAAGGTATTTTTTACAGAGCACAAAGTTGAAATTTTGTTGAAGTCTGATTTATCTTCTTCTAAAAACAATTATGATAGTTAACTAGTTTCATGTCCTGAGTTTTTGTCTACTCAAAACTTATAGATGTATATTTTTATGGTTTCTTCAAGAAGTTTTATTATTTTAGTTTTTATAGTTAGTTTCAATTTTTACATTTAGTTTCACCTTAATTTGTGTTATTGTGTGAGGTTAAGGTGGAGTTTTATTTTTTACATATGGATATGAAGTTGTTCTAGGATCATTTACTGAAAGTCTATTCTTTATTCATTGAGTTATGGGGGCACTTTGGTTGAAAATAAAGTAATCTTATATATGTGAGTGTATTTCTGGCCTCTTTCTTCTGTTCGTTTATTCTATATGTATTCTATTACTGTCAAACTGTTTTGATTATTGTAGTTAGATAGTACGTATTGAAATCCGGTTTTGTGACTTCTCCAACTTTGTTTTCCCAAATGGATTTGCCTATTATAAGTCCTTTGCATTTTTATTTATATTTTAGAATCCACTTGACAATTTCTACAAAAACACATGCTGAGATTTTGATTGAGTATATAGATTAATTTGCAGATAATAATCATGTTCACAATATTGAACTTTTAATCTGTGAACATATTATTATTTTTTTTACTTATTTAGTTCTCCAGTTACTCTTAACAGTGCTTTGTAGTTATCAGAGAACAGGTTTTATAAATATTTTGTTGATTTTATCTCTAACGAATGCATGTTTTTGATGCTATTGTGAATGGTATTTTTAACATCTCAATTTCTAAATATTAATTGCTAGTATATGATGATAAAATTAATTTTCCTTCTATTGAATTCATTATATACTGAAAGCTTGTGAAAATAAATTATAGACTGGATGCAGTGGCTCACGCCTATAGTTCCAGAAATTTGGGAGGCCAAGGCGGGTGGCTCACTTGAGGTTGTAAGTATGAAACCAGCCTGGCCAACATGGTGAAACCCCATTTCTACTAAAAATTAGCTGGGCATGGTGGTGCGTGCCTGTGATCCCAGCTACTGAGAGGCTGCTGGAACCTAGGAGGCAGAGGTTGCAGTGAGCCAAGATCACGCCACTGCACTCCAGTCTGGGTGATATAGCGAGACTCCATCTCAAAGTATATAATATATATATATATATATATATATATATATATATATATATATATATACACACACACACACACATATATGTTATTTATGATGGATATACATTATCACATATTATATATATGATATATGTGTGTGTGTATATATATTAGCTCTAGTAGCTTTTTTCTAGATTCTTTGGCATTTTCTGCATGTATAATCATCTTATCAATGAATATACATCATAATTTATGTCTTCCATTCTGATATATGGATGATAAGGAATTTTCTTTCTTTTCCTTGTGTTTTTGCACTGGATGGAACTGCTAATATAATGATGAATAGGAGTGGTGAGAGTGAAGATCCTTGCCTTTTTCCTGATTCTAGGAGGAGTGCATTCATTCTTTTACTCTTAAGTATGATGTTAACTCTGGGTTTTTTTTAGATGCCTGTTATCAATTGAGGAAATTTGCTTGTATTCCTAGTTTGGTGAAAATTTCTCTTTAAAATCATGAATGGATGTTAAATTTTTAAAATAAAGCTTCATGAGTTTATTGAGATTATCATGTGATTTTTTTCTTTAGTCTCTTCATATGATGGATTGCATTAATTGGTTTTCAAAGGTTATCTATAATAGGGAATATATGTGTTGTCTGGCCACTAATTAATGTCTACAAGAAATGCTGTGTAACATTTAATTGAATTTAAGCTGCCTTTTAATTAATTTTTTTTGTTGTTGTTGTTAAAGACAATGTCTTGCTCCATGGCTCACTGCAGCCTTGAACTCCTGGGCTCAAATGATCTTTCTACCTTAGGCTTCTGTATGTGGGACTACAGAAACATGCCACCACACCTGGCTAATTTCAGAACAATTTTTTTTTTTTTTTTTTTTTTTTTTGTGATGGTGTCTGTCAGTGTCGCCAAGGCTTATCTCAAACTCATGGCCTTAAGCAATCTTCCTGCCTCAGCCTCCCCAAATATTGGCATTACAGGCATGAGCTACTGCACATGGTCAGATGCAAACCTTTTTATTTGAAAACGTTGGGGACTTTCAGGCTGAGCACTGGATGATGAAGCTAGTGCCAATAACTCCACTGTTTCTGCGTCATCAGAGAGTGTGATTGACATCTCCCCCTCTGCCTGTAGGGATTTGTCAATTTCAAAGTGATCACAAAATAGGAAATACAGAAATGCACTCTGTAAAGTAGATAGTGTGATATTTCTACAGTGCTTGATAGTTCTGCATCATGTCCATGTACTACACAATAGAAGAAAGGTTGGGAGGTGACCAGAAGAGGTGGGACAAAATCTCAGACTTCCCTTTACAGTTTCATCTGAAAGCCAAGTGGATCCTTGCCTCTCTGGCTCTTTCATCAGTCACCCAGATGGTGGGGTCATTTCTGGGTAGCTGACTTGATGTAAGTGCAGTAACTCAGTCTCGTGCTTCAGCTGGTCCTCTCTTCTGCACTTAGATCCTATTTGTAACAGTTGGGCCTTTGCTTTATTATTATTATTTTTTTTTGTTACAAAATTTGTCTCCTGACTATAGCTCATGACTCTCTTCCCCTAGTAGGTGTGTATCTTTACAGTGGGTTTTGCCTGTGAGCCCCCTAATTAGTCCCCCTCAATTCTCACAGTTCCTGCCTGATTTTGTGTAATTTTGGCCTCTGTCTCTATTCAGCAGTGTCTCTTAAACTCTTTTATTTTCCATATTTTCTATTTTTGAATCGTTGATGATTTCAATA